GGCTTTGTGGTATTGTTTATGCTGGGGAAACTGGAGAGGTGTAGAGATTGGTGGGCGCTGGGTTGATATCTCGCGTGGGGGAGGGGAAATCCTCGGCCAAATATCCTCGGTACGGCTCTGGCTATAGGTGCTGCAGATGATTCGGTGAATGACAAGAAATCGCTTTAATTAATAGAGGGTTATTCCTAATCGCCTTAAGCGGCGGATTGCGGACGTGGAGAACCACAGAAATGCAATGCTACATGCGTCCTCTTCATTGCAGTACGAGTGAACCATGATGATGGTCATGCTTCGCTGGTCATGCTTCGTTTGTTATTCCTTCTTATCACGAATGTCTGGGTCCTCTATCCTTCCCTTGTTCCTACTTGAATGGAGCAAGAGCTTGCGTCGCAATGGGAAGAGAAAAGACCGATAATTCGGGGAGTCTTGCGAGGCCGAGGGATATTGGCCTCGACTTGGCCTCTTGCCAACTCGGCATCTCTCCAAGAAAGAGGGATGGGAAGAGAAAAATCCATTGGAGGAACTCTTATGGAGCCCTCTCTCCGAACAGACAACGAGGAGACTTGATGTCTCTGGTCTGTTATAAGACAGATAAAGAACGTTTCGCTCCTATCTGGAGGCTTACTTGTCTCGAGACCGGCATGGCACTGGGTATCGTGTCACTGGAATCAGTTCTAACCTGTCATATATTAGTTGCTTTAAAAATATACTTATTGAATCTGACGCCTCTTGTTTCGATAGCCGAACATATTTGTTTTATCCTTTGCAAAAAGAATGCGTGATTCCGGAATGGGTGAACTTTAACACAATACTATAAAATTGGACATGAAAATATTTTCATGTAATACTACAATACGCTCATGTGGAGGTCTCTTTCACTCATTCCGTGGCTTGATTTTGAACCAGAGCTTTCCAGCTTGGTTCTGCTCCTTTGACGATGATAACCTTCGACGCCTTCCATCATGCATAAGGTTCTTGCTCTGCATGGTTTATGCGTGGCCCATATTTACCCATGACATGTATTAGGCCCAAATATCCCCTAGTCGCACGTGACTTGCATGGACAATGCTTGAATCAGCATTTTGTTCGAATAGGCATTGACAGCGTGATGCTTGATTTTCAGTGACTCAGATTATGATCAGCTGGAAGCAGTGATGAGACGATGAGATGTGTCGCTGTCTCTAAATCCTCCCCTCTGTGACGATTCGAATGCAATACTTTCCTGGGTTCTTATGCTCAAATTTGTAGTGGATAGACCTTATAGTAGATGCTTCTTTGAAATCCTCTTGGCATTTCAAGCCGTTCCATTCTTTCATTCTTACTAGTGGGAAAGTTCGTCTTAGTTAGTCAGTCATATCGGTTGGAAAAGACGGGAGATAATTTCTGGACCCTTGCATCAAAGAAGACGCATGTCATTGCTCAAGATTGAGGGACCAAACATCCAGAGGGATTTCTAGCCGCATGAATCTGTAGGTGGGCCTCTGCTTCTCTATTATCCAATGTTGTGTCCTAGAATTAGATAACTGCTGATATGCGCCTGGGATCCGGCTTGCCCGTCGAGTATGGTGGGTTGCCTGGCCTTTCTCTTATGCAGGCTGCGAATGTATCCGACAAGGATCTATGATAGTAGACGACCATCTTTTTTTCCGCTTTTCATTTCCTCTGGATTGTTTCCAGTGCCAGCAACTTCCTTCCAGTGTATAGAAACAATATTAGTCCGATCCGGTCCCATTTACTTGCTGCTGCGAATCTGACGGAATCGATGGGACGCATAAGTATTTTCATATATCTGGAGCTGGGTTCGCCATGATTGGACGCCATTCGATCTCTTCTTTTGTTCTTGTTAGGGACACCCTGACACATTGGGTATGATTGGAAGAAGACAAGTATTCTCTCTCTCTCATTTCCTCCATCTATTTTCTTGCTGTCGTGATTGACTGAAGAAAGCGCAGAACGTTGACGTGCACGCATTCTAATAGTATCTCGAAAACTGATGCACCGATTTTAAGATTATCTTCAAATTGCAGGAATAGACAATAACGATACATTGAATTAGTAAAGGGCGACATGTACTCCGTCCGTTTGACTTCAATTTCGTTGAATTGATAATACTGTAGGTATCTCTGAGAATCCATTTTAATGATTTGTTGCTCTTCCGCTCTGAGTGATTCCATTTAGTGTGAATCTGTTGGGTGCATGTCGCTTGGAATCAACTTCCATCAGTGGGTATATCAGCAAGACGAGAAGAGAGATATCAGCAAGACGGGATTTGAATGAACTTAAGACAGGACCTTGTGTAATACGGCTTTAGTCGTGCATAATAAGCTCCTTATTCCTACATAATCTGGAGTCTCTTGCTCCCAAGGTTGCTATAGCATGACGTTAGGCTTCCACCTGTTCTTGGTAACGAGTTGCCCAGCTTGAAGTACCTCATGCCTCAACCTGTGAGGCCCCGCACACTTCCCCCTCCACGCTGCATTTATGGTCATGACATTTATCATACCATTTCATCTAGCATGCTATCTTTGAATTCTATCATTGCTATCTTTTGCATGTCATGACATGTCAGTGTCCATAATTCATTCATAGTTTGGCTATGGAAAGGGAATAGAGAACTTTGGAATTTGACATTTGACGAAGAGCTCTGCAGAACGGAACATCGAACGCTAAAGAGGAAGGTACCGTACGAAAGTACCAGCCCGGAGTATAACACGCGCGGAGGGATCGATATGGAATGAATGCGAGACCTCATACCGTAAATGTATCCACGTCCTGTCCTCGCACACAATGAGACGCCCAGGCATGGCTAGGACATGGACGAAGATAATTCCCGGCATTTAGTCTACACATCTCCGTCTCTCATTTCATTTCTCCCCATTCGTATCGTTCCCAGTCTTCTGAATGATAAATATTCGGACCTACTTTGCTTATGTCATGGGATTTTGTGGAATTCAGGGGATTCAGAATCTCCCTAATTGGATACAGAATTTCGATAAGCCCGCGGGTAAAGTGAAATCTTCTCGAAATGTTTCTATCATAGCTCTTCCTGCTAGATACATTTCTTGTTCCCTTTGCTTCTATCGTTTTCTTTAGTTCTAGGATGAAACGGAGTCATCAAGACACCCGGGGAAATGGAAATTTGTATTTTAGTCGAACCTTTGTTAAAATAAAGCAGTCAATAAAAGTGTCATTGAACGGAAACCCATTAACATTGAAAAGTTAGGATTTTCATTTGGGGAGGTGGCACTGGTTTCCCCGTGACAATTTCTTGCACTTGCTGAGGGATCCTGCATACCTACTGACGTAGCTTCTTTCTGCCCTATGAAGCGCTCAAGGACACCGAGACGCCATTAGGCACCTTAAAGGCGCCTTGCTCGTTCAGCGCATTCCAGCAGATAGGTCATCGATAGGGAGTTTGCGGAATGAGGACGGGAACGGGAAGGAAACCATGGACGAAAGCGACCTGGGTTTTAAATCAATTCCAGTACTCTGAACAATATCCCGTTCCTGTACCGCGGATGGGATTCTGCAGGCTCTCTTATGACGTCAGAGGGAGTCCCCAAAAACATCTAAATTGCTAGGCCTTCTGTGACTCCTTCCTTTGTCGACGCTACCACAGCCCTCCACGTAACTCTTGTCGGCTACTGTCTGAGGCAGGGAGATTCAGAGGGGGATTTCATATCCCTCTAAATTTTCACTAAACCCCTCGACATATGTAACATATTCCAAGAAGTATATTAGAAACTTCTCTCAGAGAAATTTCGTAAGGTTTGGAGTGAAGCTTCCATTAGGCTCCTTGGGGATGCCGTTATGCTGCATGGCAGGAATGAATGTGCAGTCCACAAATATAATTGATGATTTCCGAAAGCGTATTCATTCCGTGCGTTATTGCCGGATGCTGAGGCATTTGGATGAGTGCTTTTTTTTGGAGACCATTTTCTTCTTTGGCGGAAATGAATCTCTGAAATGGAAGCCACCCGCACTAGGATTCATTTTCTTATTCCTTCGTCTGTGTCCTTGGCGGTGACAGATGGGCTCTGCTCCGATGTCATCTTCATCCGTCATTATTCCAAACGCTCCATATCCCTCCCTGATGAAGAGTCTCATCCTCAAGTCGTTCATGGACACTACCCGTAAACGAGGTTATTAGGAGCCTATAATAAGACCCAAGCAAGGATTTGCAAGTCTAATTGCATTACGGAAAAGCGGGATCGACCGAGAAAGGGTAATTTATTCGCGGGGGGAGGGGCCTCTGCATTGCCGTTCAAATGCCTGCTTCGCATGGGGACGAGCCATATTCATTTATTTTCTCTAAAGAAATTTTATGATATTCATGAATCTTCATCATTTATGACAGCGTAACAAAGAAAACATGAATAATGAATGCAGTCTCCTGTTGAACTTTATTCTCGTTATCTGAGAGATATTTGCTCAGCTGATTACTCTTCAGTTTCTTGCATTAGATGGAAGGAAAACACTAGATCGATTTCAAGTTTCCATCCTGAACCTCACCAGCATTCTTAGTAGCTAGAAGGAAACATGGAACAGTCGTTACCTCATCAGCATTCGAAATGGGAAGGGTTACGTCTGCGGAATGAAAAAAGGTGCCCGTGTATGTATAGTATTGAATTTCCTGAGCAGTCAATCGTCTTGTTATTCATTATTCATGAGCGAGGCCTGCTTTCGCATTCGCGGTAGGAGAAAGATGAGATCCGTCTCGAGAAAGGCCTACATCAGACGAGATTTTCATGCTCGAGATTGAACAAAAATCCCCAAGGGAATTCTTATCTCCTTCTATAAAGAAAAGTAAAATAAAAATTAAGCAATTGAAGTCTCAGTTTCGTATTTATGAAATATTTTAAAATAAAGAAAGTCTTATGTCATCTTAGGTAGGGCCTGTCAACGGTTATTCGTGAATTCTCTTCATAAAAGGATCGAACAAAGATTTTTCTTTTTCATTCACTATGTGACTGATGTCCTTTTTTGTTGACATTTTTCAGACCTTGGGCGAAGATTGAGAGTTAGCGGAGAAGGCCTTCACGATGGCGGCTACGGCCAACGGGCAACCGAGGACAGAGCTCCAAGACCTCCAGCTCAAGGCTGGTCAGGTCACCGATGAGGTCAGTCCCACTGTAGTTCCGTTCTAAGCTCATTCTTTCGCATTTCCTCGCTACATTCCATGGTCCCTGTTCCATGGGACGACAGGGAGAGAGGCAAAGCTTGTTTTGCAGATATGAACGTGCTTATATTAAGAAGACAGAGATCTGCATTGATGAAGTAATGCTACAGAAACGAAGTAATGCTACAGAAACGATCGTTTCAGAGCGTATGGGCATGGGAATATTCCCATCTGCTTGAACAGAGTTCAAGCAGATGGGAGTTGTGACGTCAATATCTCATGCCGTTGTGAGATCAGCCCTGCACGAACTGATTCATGGTTGTGGCTAATGCATACTGATCCACTCGAGGGTAAAGAATTCTCTTGCATCGCCTACAGTATTACTATAATACAAGTTCGAAGTAGATAGATCTTCTAGGCTCTCGAGGCAGCACGCACTGTCTAGTGGGTACTCACTTACTTCACTGAACCGCTTCGCTTTCTTATTAGCCTGAGGTCCCTTTATTGAGTTGGATGAAACGAGGAGGATATGTTTAGGTCATTGATTTTCCCTCTTCTTTATTCGATTGTGGAAGACTTGAAGGTTTTCTCCTTTTCCTTGTCGTCTCCTCAAGGAAAGTTTTCTCCTTTTCCTTGTCGTCATATACGAATTCTACATTGGCCTAGTCTATCATTCATATAGTTTTAAAAAAGTATGCTTTGCATCAGCGTAACATTCAAAGATTGGGGTTGATTTAATACTACTCAATGAAAAAATAATAATTCCAAAGATTTATAGTACGGCGCAATTTTTCTTGAGTTCTCCTTGTTAGCTTGCAGCTTTTAATTTCATTGACATCGTTTCATTTTAAATGCATAAATCCAGTTTTTCCCGGGATGATTCCTCGGATGATGTGTAATGGTTGTGCGAGACTTCGTTTGGGATGTTTTCTTACCAGCAGGTCATTGACTCCGTGTTACTCGAGATAACTTATCATTGATTCCCTACTTGCCGGAAATTCATCTAGTTTCGCGGGACAGATCATGCAAGCTTTGAAAAGTTGACTGCATTATCTCAGCAATACAGCTGAATCACAAGAGCTGGTTTTGATCTACCGTGACTCGTTTAATTCCAGGAGCGACCTCCGAAAAATGTGGTCAGTTCATGTGTGGGCCCGGTGGCGACAGGCGTACGCATTCGTTCGCTTTTCTTGGTAGGAGGGGGGGTCCCTGTATTTTCGCCTCTAAGATGGAAAAAGGACGGGGTGTAGTACAAATATAGCCTGCAGAACAAATTTCTTTTCCGACTCCAACATTCTGCGCATTGGGAGAAACAACGAGCCAGGAATGAAGTTTCGCCGATCCTCGTGTCCCAGAGGTAATTTCCATTTATTCTCCCCATCATAACTTAGCTCATCAGCAGCCGTGGCGACTAGGGCGGAATACGAAATCCAAGGGCACAAGGGAGTCTTCACTCATAGTTCCTTTTGGGTTACACAGAAAAGGAAACTCAATCATGTTGAGAAGACTCCGATGATCTGCATGGTTCCCGTTCCGATGACATCAAGTCATTGTAAAAGCCTTCCATTTTAACGAAATCTTCACAGTGAATGTCCACCTGCTCTCGCAGACTTTTGTCGTAAGAGATACGTCAGTGTGACATAACGCGAGTATCGAATTAAATTCATTTAATTAAATCCATTACTTTTTTTAAATTATATTTTGAAAACCGTATTTTTTAAACTTTCAAACTCAATGCAGTTGTTCGTTACGGAACCTCCCCCTCCTACCAAGAAAAGCGAACGAATGCGTACGCCTGTCGCCACCGGGCCCACACATGAACTGACCACATTTTTCGGAGGTCGCTCCTGGAATTAAACGAGTCACGGTAGATCAAAACCAGCTCTTGTGATTCAGCTGTATTGCTGAGATAATGCAGTCAACTTTTCAAAGCTTGCATGATCTGTCCCGCGAAACTAGATGAATTTCCGGCAAGCAGGGAATCAATGATAAATTATCTCGAGTAACACGGAGTCAATGACCTGCTGGTAAGAAAACATCCCAAACGAAGTCTCGCACAACCATTACACATCATCCGAGGAATCATCCCGGGAAAAACTGGATTTATGCATTTAAAATGAAACGATGTCAATGAAATTAAAAGCTGCAAGCTAACAAGGAAAGAGGAACTCAAGAAAAATTGCGCCGTACTAGAAATCTTTGGAATTATTTTTTCATTGAGTAGTATTAAATCAACCCCAATCTTTGAATGTTACGCTGATGCAAAGCATACTTTTTTTAACTATATGAATGATAGACTAGGCCAATGTAGAACTCGTATATGACGACAAGGAAAAGGAGAAAACCTTCAAGTCTTCCTCAATCGAATAAAGACGAGGGAAAATCAATGACCTATACATATCCTCCTCGTTTCATCCAACTCAGATTTCCCTGGAGTCCGATTATTCTTTCGCTTCGCCAAGTCACTTCATTCACTCATGGGTGATCTGTCACGCACGACGGAGCTCTCGGATCTTCTAGATAGATGAAGCTTGAACATAATATCATTATGTTTGAATTATACCAGAAGGGACCCTGGGGATGCGGAATGCTGACCCTTTTTCATCATTTATGGAGTTGTGGGTGTCTTGGAGTGCTTTTTCCTGTTTCCAGGCTCTCATGAATTTTCTTTTATAGAAAATATTTGTGAAAAATATAGCTGTCCTCTTCATGGAAACCGTTATGCCTTGTACAAATCAAGAGAGACGTAAGAGTAGTTATTTTATAAATTCTTTGAGATGTTAGATTAACCAGGGTGACCCACAATTTCCATAAAACAGATGTAGTTCGCGATTGAGTGCAAAGTAATATCTCTGGGAGTGGACTAATTTTGATGTGAAGTGCGAGATGTGATGGGAAAGGCATTCGTTGCGGACCAACATGTGTTGTGAGTCTGTGTCATTAGTAAAGTGTGCTTAAGGGAACATAAGCGCCATCTTGAATGCCTGTTCCCTTCCACTGTCACCTGTCAGGATAAACGCAACATCACTCAGTAGCCCATTTGCATTGTCAGTATTTTTCTCTCAAACGTACAATACAGGGTGATTATAAAGTTCCGATCTATTTTTATGCATAACGCTTCATAAAAATAGATCGAGACTTTATTGTCACCCAGTATATGCTTAAGAAGGAAAATTTGGGCTACTCTGTGTAAAATAACCATTTTGAGGAGTACCTGCCTTGGCGGCCCCTAGTTTTGTCACCATAAACATAATATACGCGTTTTCCATCCCCAGAAGAATCAGACAAGGGATACCAGTAATACCAAAGGCAAACTGAGAGTTTGTGCTAATGGTACCTTTATGAAAGCAGTCAGTACAACCTTAAGGCTGAAAGAATAAGAGGAATAGATGTATGTGAGAAGTCCATTCACAAGATTGACTGAGCTCCTCCAACACGTTACTATTTTCTGTTTGGAATCTACTTATGCTCGTTAATTATGGGGAAGAAGCATCCATCATACCCACTCAAATGACTTGTAGATATTCTGGCAAGTAGGCTTACATGTTTCATGTTATAAGTACAAAGTCGGATATGAAATCACGGTGTTGGTTTCTGCACCACCTAAAACCTGCAACTTCTCAACTGACGAACGACACTTACTTAATGCTATGTTCTCTGGATTGTTTTCTATGCAACTGTAGAAATACGTTGTAACCGCTATGGAATGCGTGATAAACATTTTACAACCCCGGGTGATAAACTTTTACGACCCCAGAAGCATAAATCTGAAGTTCAATAAATTCGTTATATCCGGTTCCAAGAAACATATTTCCCCCTGCTTTCGGTGAAATGTTCAACCCGATTGGGACACAAAAGAGAGAGTATCATTTCCAAATGAAAAATAGTAAACTCACCGGTATTATACCATGACCCTTCAATCTGGGGCGTTAAATAAAAAGGTAGTTATTAAAATTTTGAATAACTTAATAACTTTAAAAAAAAATCAGAATAGGATACAGGGTGATTCAAAAGTCCCTTCCTAGTTTCAAAATTTAATTTCTCCAATAACGAAAGAGATTCACGCAAACCAAATACACCATCCTTCAGAGTACTTTTGAGAGTCTTGTTTCCTTATGAGAAAATTAACTTCACGACTTTCAAAAGACTTCTAAATGCGCAAAATCAATTTCATTGCAGCCACCTCTGAACAACCTCATTCGCAACTTCAGCAATCTCTAGGGGATTTTCTTGCATTACAGCCTTGATGCGTTCTTCCGAATCTGCTAAATTGTATGACTTTATAGCATACATTTTACACCGCCCCCCAGAAGAAAAGTCGACAGAGGTCAGGTCACGTGACCGAGGAACTCAGGGAGTTGGGCCGCGTTTCCTAATCCATTGGTTAGGGAAGTGATAAAATTTCTCGGTAGCGTGCGTGCGTGTTGTTGCACCTCGGGGTAGGGCAACTTTCTACTAGAGTAGCTCTAGTTTCCCGAGATGAACTCATTACCGTTTGTAGACCTTGTAAAGTACTATTTAAAGTGCATTAACATTTGTTGTATGTCCGTCATCATGTTGGAAAAAAGGCTCAATGATTCCTTTGCAGTAAGAACACCAAACATTTAGTTTCGGCACATCGCGCTCATGCTCACGAAACTCTCCTGAGTTCTAAAGTCCCCAAGTTTCTGAAATTGTGTTGTGTGTTTCGTATGGTTTTGGCATCAGGAGCGTCGTGAACTTCGAAATGCCATCGGAATTCACGTTGCATTAGTCACTGAACCAAACGCGTCCATTCAGATAGCCATTTTACACCGCTGCAAAACCGAGTATCCATATGCCATTCCAAGCCCAGAAACCGGAAGCTTGGTGTTTCAAAAGAGTTTCCCGCCACTTTATAAGTCACTGAACCAAACGCGTCCATTCAGATAGCCATTTTACACCGCTGCAAAACCGAGTATCCATATGCCATTCCAAGCCCAGAAACCGGAAGCTTGGTGTTTCAAAAGAGTTTCCCGCCAC